GGACAAATGCTAACTGGGGCAGTCAGTTGATTTTCCCTACTGTGGTCAGCTGTAGCCATCATAGCAATTCCTCAGCTGTAAACACATACCATACTTTTTACATGAATAAAAAGTCTATGGGTACTCTAGCGTTAGGAGACCTGTTGTGGGAAAATGTTGCATTTGGGCTTGAATTTTCTGTAAGGTATTTTGTATGATAACTTTTGCTATCATCTGTGTCCCTAATTACCTGAGTAACTTTTCTGAAAGAGCCTGTTTGCATATCATAGTGGCAGTCCCTGAGTTGTTTAACTAAGGACTGTAATAATTGTTCACACATATCCTGTTACTTTTAAGTTAACAGCAGTTTTATGACATCTGAACCCAGAAACTTGTAGAGTTGTTTAAAGTTAAATTAATCTTGAATGGACCCAACAATTTCCCATGGTTTATTGTTTGATAGAATCTTTAAGCCTTACACCTGGGTTTTCTAGGTTTAGACTTGATGAGTACAGAATACAGACATGGCTTGTGCATGGCTTTGTCATCACAATTCCTGGGTTAAAGCAGGAATTTCTAGTAGGTTAAAGTCATCTTAATGAGCAGTCAGTATGCAACCATCAGCAAGTTTTCAAGAGGCTATTATGCAGTAAGGCTGAAGGCAGTTTATAGCCCAGTCTTTCCCAATCACATTGGAGAATGTTGGTATTTCATACCACAGTAAATACCATGTGTTCCTTGATTTTTTCTATTCTGTATTCTCTCTTGTCAGACAGATTTGGAGCTCTACACAAAATTGCAAAACCAGTTTGACATGAGAAAAGATTGTCAAGGGGGAATATGAATGTCCACAGTGGCTCTATCAGAGCATAATTGTCTGTGCACACTTACTTTGAAGAAAGCCCTGTTAAACTTGGTAATTGTTGTTTGTGAGTAAACATGCATAGTGTGAGACTGTTAGTCACACACAAATATTGTTTTGAGTATCCAGCCATTCTCATTATGTCCAAAGAATTCAGCCCAATCAATGTTACTCAGCTCAGATTTGTACATCTAAAGAAAATTCTCTCTCAAAGGGAAGTACTAATCCTCAGTCCCATGCAGTATAGAAGTCAGCATTATTCATATCTTTAACATATATTTTTTTGATTTGAGATCAAACTAAGTAAGTTTGATTTGACACTGGTTGCCTAAGTTCTCTAATAGCATTCTGCCTCTTTAGTGCTTCCTAACTTCCCTTCTTGTAATTAAGTAGACAGCTGATGCACAGTGAATTCCTTATTTGATTTTCTATTAATTCTGGGTCTCTAAACACTTAGTAGGGAGGACTTATGTAGGCCCTGAACAACAGAAGAGGAATTAATTAGTGGGAAAGCAAGTGACAGAATAAAGTCTCAGTGTTACTATTTTGCAGAATGGGTATTTAATGCGGTACTGAATGTAAATATAAGAACACCTAAGCAGATGGTTTACACATCAGCTGTCATTTTAATAATGGCAAGTGGCATCTTCCCACATGCCAGAAACTCTCACTTTCCTTCTTTCCTTCATTGCTTATAAATTGATTGATAAATTGATGAAGGGGTTTAAACATTGAAATCCTGAGCATCTTGGTCTCAGACGTGCTTTCAAAGAAAGGTGTTGGGTTGTACATGCATGTTTGCAGCTTCTGTAATCTTGCTCTGGTTAAAACTTTGATGTGTTACACAGATGAGAGGGAGATGGGGAATCCCTCTCAAATGTAGGGCTTGGAACTTGTTAAGTACAGAGTTCTGTCTCAGAATGCATGCCAGAATGTAAAGTTCATATTTTAAGGCTGGTTGGTTTATGACATTGTAAACTTACTCTTCCAGAAGTTTCAGGTAGTATATATGGTGCTTTCAAGGCTAGACCTAAGGAGGCTATGTCGTGAGTCTATTTCCTGAGTGACCATTGGTGCCAATGGAAGATTATTTTTTCCTAAACTTACTGGCATGGGAAGGAACTCTCAAAAAAGCAGCAAAGGACTAACCAGTGTGTTGTGACCCTTCTCTGTCACCCTACATGGCAAATAAGCTTTGACAAGATCTTCTGTTGGCACCAGTGGAGGCTTCCCCCCCTCACCACCACCCCAAGAACAGTTGCTGGGATGGGGGTGGTTTTCTCTGGCGTGGCAAGAAAGTTAATTAGGAGAATGCCATGAAGAGATGGAGGAGAGACAATTACTTTATTGTCTTTATTGCCCTTCTCAATGATTAAAGAATTTGTACAGGAGGTCCTTCTTTAGGTACCCTGGGAGATCCTCTGTGTACTAAGAGAGAAAGAGGGAGAAATTGTCTGGTTCATCTTGATTTTTATGTGTCTCCTTGCCCTCCACTGGGAAGATCTGGAGCCCTCTGGTTGTGTGTGATGTATGTCATTGTGGGGTGAGAGGAATGCAACTAGCTCCCACCACACAAATAGAGACAGCCCCCAAAACTGTGAAGAAGGTAAGGAAAGGGAGAAAGAAAGAGTCAATCTTTCAGTGCTACACTGCTCCTGCTGCTTCTTTCCTTTTCCCTTTTCAGGCTGCTTCTCTTTTCTCCACCACCGGTTCTTGTTTCATTCTTCCCCACTCTGATCACCATCTCTGACCTGCCTGGTCCATCCACTCACACAATCTACTTTCCTTCATAGTGTTCTTTCTTGATCCTATTCCTCCACTTCCTCTGCCAGCTCTTCAATCTTTATTCTGCTTATCACCCACTCAACTTTTTGAAACCTCTTCCCATCAGAATTAGGCAGAATTTTATTTTGAATATAGGGAGATGGTTAAGATGATCAAATTTGGGGCAGGATTCTGTGGAAATAATTGGGAGTGACGTGATTTCTCTTGGCTTGCTTTTAGATTAATATTTTGCCAAAGTGTTGAAAATATTCATTTTCTGGTGTGAGTGCATGTGTTCATGGAAAAAACTTCTCCCAGACACTGTTTTTGTGCATTTTTCTCATCTGTCCATGGGCATTGCACATTAATTGCAGCTTGGAAAGAGAAAAGGAAAGAAGAAGCAGAGGCAGGGTGGAGGTGGAAGAATGACTCTCTTCTAGATTATTGATTATGCATGTTTTTAGTTGAAATTTTAGCTGCTATTGGTTTTAATCCCTTGTAAACTTCCCATAACCTGTGGCAATGGGGCAGTATATAAACATCTAAATAAGTTAATATTGCCTGGCTTTGTCTTTTTAGGAAAATTTCATATAGTCTAGTACTTGTTTCTAAATCTAGCCTAGAAATGATTGATAGATAATTAGTTTATAAATATATAGACATAAATCATCACATGCAAATAGTAGGCAGATATGTGTTCTGTAGACCTGAGTTCTAAATCTGTTCAGTGTCCCTGGTGCCCCTCTCATGTTATATTCAAAGATAAGGAGAACACAGCGGGCTGAGGGAAGATTAAAATACAGTTCTTGCTCATCTCAAGTCCATCCCTCTATCCATTACATCATACTGGTTGTGACACAAGATGCATGGTAATGACTACAATATAGCCATGGGCCATTTCTGTGGAATCCATAGTATGTCGGATAACCATGTTAGATATAACAGCCAACCCTTTAATCTCCTTTTCACCAACCTTTTGAGGACAAGATACCATCATTTACTATATTTAGGGAAAATGCTAAGATGGTGGGTATACTTTATCATATCTGTAATCATTTAAGCAGTTAAAGGCAGTTAAAAAGAAGTCATGTGCATGTGGTTAGCTAAATTGTGTGGTGTTTTTGTGTTCACATAATCCAGTCAACTTCAGAGCTGTGCAGGATACTCATTATTTTAAAAAGCATCTTGTGGTTACAATCTCTTTTAAGTTGACTGACTTACTCCATTCTGCACTTGAAAAAAATTAATAATTGCTGTTAGTTCACTGTCAGCATAGAATGTTTTGGGTTTCCTTTCTATATTACTGGTATTTTATCTTTATAATTGCTTGTTTTTAATTTTGTACACTGCCTTGAGGGTGCTTATGCCCAGAAATGTGGTATATAACTATATTAAATTGAAATAAAATAAACAGATGAAGCCATAAAAATCCAATTTTAAAACTGGTAAATCTTCCAGAGCTGTAACATATAATAATGAAACAACTGTTTCAGAGCCAGGCCAAGACCATGGTTTGTAATAAATGTATCTGGACTTGGAGATACATTTATTTGTGCTCTAGCTCAGGATCCGGGCTTCAGCTGTGAGCTGGAGCCACAAAGGCAGCATGTATGTGGCCTGCTCAGCTGCACAGCGCCATGGGCAGAAACAAGCTCTGTCCTGTCTGGAAGCTTTCCAGTGTGAACAAATGGCTGGGTTCTGTGCTTCACATCTTGGTTCCCTTCCATTTGTAAAAGGGACTTTGGGGTCTGTGTACATCCAGTCATGAGGGCAATCTTAGCCTTGGACCTGAAGCTTAGCAGTCAAACTTGACATCTCGGGCAGCACAATCCAGTGTGCCTGACTATAACTTTCTATAAGCAGAGAATTCCAGGCAACTCATGGAGGGCAGAAGCTTGCCTCTGTACTTCTCCCACCCTGCAAAACCCTTAAATGACCAATTTCAGCTAAGTGTTCCCCTCCAGATCACGAAAAAATAAGGCTGAGGCATTGCCAGGATACTGAGTTTCCAAAGTCTGAGCGGGGTCCCAAATATTCCTGTTGCCATCAAGACAGCATCAAGTAGCCATGGGTTTGCACCCTAAAGTTTTAATTTTATTACAGAATTAAAGTTTATAACCTTACTAAGGGAAGGTGGAAAACTGGCAGAGGACATATCTGAGGCTGCATCTCATTTCTCTGAGCCAATGGCATTTCGGGCTGTCTTATACAGCCCTGAATGTTTGAGTCTTAAATGAAATAAAACTAAAGCAATATTTTAATTTCTTTACTGGGATTTATAAGCAGCTTACATGTGGCAATTGTAAAATGGTGTACACAATTCATAGACACATAAAATTAAAGACTAGTACTTAGAATATGTTGTATTGGTGACTGCATTTCCAAAGGAAGCCTTAAAAACTAGTTAGATGCTACAAAGTAAGTAGCAGTACTTTAACCATAACTCTGTGGCAGAGGCTACTGTGATCTCTTATGTCCTTGTCATAGGAGGTGTGTCTTTTTTTTGCTTTCATGCAACACATTCTTAAATACTGTTGGGAGGCTCTGCTCTCAGATATTAAAACTGGAAAAGCATCATGGTTATATTTGGCAACATTGTCAATTACATGCTGTGTTAGGATCTTGAGTGAAAGGTTTTGGGGGTGCAATGGAGATACTCCATTCTGTTTTCCCATCTACTCCCATCATAAGCAGCTTTAAAAAATAATCAAATGTATACCTCAAACTTGTCCCATGGAGTCCTGCAGAGCCTAGCATCATCCCTGTACCAAAGAATTTTTATAGGAAAAAAAAATTGTTCATAGACACTATTCGTAAGAACAGGTGTGACTGTCATGTGTACTTTGTCTATGAATGTAGACTAATATTCCAATTGTTCAGTGATCTGCAGAGAGCTTTGGTTTAATGTGCTGCTGTGTGTTAATGCAACTTTGCAGTGCTAGAGCATTTTATTCAAAATTGAAAGGGTACCTATGAGTGATTAACACTGTTTTATACCCCAAATTATATTGGCCAGGCTCTAAAAGAGCACTTCATGTGTTTTTTGAAGTGCAGACTCTCTCCCCAATTCCATCACAGACCAGAACTGTTTTATAAAAGTCCCTTCCATTCCAGGAGCAATTTGCCACCCAGCATGTGGGATTATTACAAGAGAAACCTGAGTCTAAAGGGGACTGTTTGCAAAGTCTTTTAGTTCCTGGCTATTTGCCCCTTGTTTTTACAGATAGCATATGCTATTCTTATTTTGTATGTTTCAGATTTATGGAGATGTTTCTATTCCTGTACTTACAAGTCCAAGCTCTATCTTTCAGTCATCGTCATAGCATCTAGGTCAGCATATCCCAGCCTTATGAATATATCTAGAAAGATTGCTAATGCACAGGTTGTGCATGGCATTTACACACAGGTAAACCTTCATGGATTACTGCCTTCTTTGTCGTGGCCTCTGTGCATCACACATATGGGTGCTGTGCCTGCGCAGTGCCTAGGCCGGAAAGATTGAAAGCTAACGGTTTTTGGCAGGAAAACTCCGCTCCCCTCCCCCTCTACAGTATATATAGAGTGGAGTGTCCACCATTTTGTTCATTCTTTTGCGACCGCCATTCACTGTGTCTCGTGCCTATTCATCTCTCGCTTTGACCCTCAGTATTTGCTATTTTATTCTTATTGTTCTTGTTGCTCTTTGTTACTATATTCCAAGTTATTATTCCCTTTTTCTTCGTCTTTACTAAAACAAAAACAAAAACAAAAAGTATTATCTCTCTTTACTATCCTCTATTCCTTCTCTTTCTACGATGACACAGTGGGCAGCTTTCCGCAAATGTGTGTCCAAAATGTCCCCGGCGGACCCCCATGATTTGTGCCTCCTCTGCCTCGGCGAGGGGCACAGGACAGATAAGTGCTGCCATTGCCTTGCTCTTACCAAGCAGGCCTGCAAGAATAGAGAGAATCACTTGCGAAAACTCCTATGGGATCAAGCACTGATGCAGTTGGACCAGCCCGCTGCAAAGCCTGGGCCTGTTCATGATCCATCTGCCCAGCGCCCGGCTTCTGCCTCGACTGCGTCCAGCCAGCGATTGGCTACTGCTTCAGCCATGCCTGGCCAACACCCTATGACCACGCCGCCCATGCCTCAGCCGCACCCATCGGATGATGGAATTTTACCCTCGGGGGCCCAACGATCTCCCTCTCCTTTGCGTAAACAGCAGGAAAAGAGGAAGCATGGAGGGTCGGATCATTTGTCTTCCACAAAAAGGCAAAGAAAGATAAAGTGGCCAAAACGGCTCATAAGCTTAAGAGGAATCGGGATTCGGGTTCATCAGCTCCATCGATCCCGAGGCTACAGGCGGCAATGCAGGTTACCCCACCGGGATCTCCAGTGCAACCTGCTCCTCAACAGGGCCAGCCCATTGATCAGCCTGAGGAACCTCACTGCGAGTCTATCTCGGATGGAGAAATTCAAGACTCCCCTCCCATGGTTCGATCACCGACACCTATGCCTCCAACTAGAGCTCAGGATCCATCTCCCGCTTTTTCACTGCCACCTCGATCCCATATGGACGAAAGGCATGAGGAGGGATGGTTCCGACCGTATTATGATTATCCATCCGGCTGGGGTGATTACCACTCCCTTGGATTTCATACCTATCCAAGAGATCGTTCCCCGCCTTCCGCCCACAAGGATATGCCATCCACCTCAAGACGTGCGGAACTCAAACGTCCCACCTCACCAGGAAGTTCTTCCTCGGACCCATACCATCTTGGGCCCAACTCCAATTCCGAGGCATACTCCACCTCCCCTAATGTGGCGATAACATCCCAGAGCCCAGCATCACCGGATGAGCCTCACATCTCTTTCGGAGAACTCATGTCTAGACTTGTTCGGTCACTCGAGATCGAGGCGCAACACCAGCCAGATCCAAGTACTGACAAGTTCTATGACATTGTTGGGAGAGCAGTCACCCGCAATAGTCCTGCTGCTAATTACAACGCTGCGACAGGCGATGACTCAACCGTGGGACCTACCCTCGCAGGCACAGCCCACCATATGAAGATATGAGTCTATGTATCGCGTCCGGGAGGGTGACATACCCTTTTTGCTCCACCACCCCAAGCCAAATTCCATAGTCATGGAATCATCTCAAGGCAGAGAATCCAGGGGACATACCACCCTCCGGGATAAAGAAGGGTGCAAAATTAATACCTTGGCACGCCGGGTCTACGCGGCCGCTGGACTCGACCTTCGTATGTCCAATTACAAAGCCACCTTGGCCAGGTATCAATTTTTTATTATGCAAAGACTAAACAACGTCATTGCCGCTCTGCCAGAACAACAACGGGATTTGGCTAGGACCTTCATCAAAGAGGGTATGCAGGTAGCCATCCAACAATTGTCCACAGCTTGCCACCACATGGATATGGATTTGAGAGCTCTAGTTGGGGCCATTTCGCTGCGGAGGCACGCCTGGTTGAGGAATTGTAACTTTCCTGATGAAATGAAAAGGCGCATAGAAGAAATGCCCTTTGATGGCTCCAGTCTTTTCCATTCTCGAACGGACCATAAACTCAAAGCCATACATGAGTCCCGTATGATGGCAAGAAGGATGGAACTGCCAGGACAGCAAAAACGTAAGTGGGCTTGGTCACGTCCATCTTACTGGTACCAACCTCCACAGAGAAATACCAGCAGTGTCAACAACGCAGAAGGCAACAACCCCACCAGCATTTCCAACAGGGTCGCCGTCGCTTTGAAAATGGAAAGCATCAACGCTGATGGGATGGGTGAACCTCTCTTCCACCTCAATACCCACCTTCCCCTCTCCATTTTGGGGAACGGCTGCAAGGCCGACTCCCCATCTGGGAGTCCCATCACATCTGATCAGTGGGTTTTATCCATCCATCATCCAGCTCAGATACAGAATAAAATTCGAAACCGTTCCTCCATCAAGCCCGATTCGCTTTACATCGTATTAGTGGCTGAAGTACGTCAACTGCTTCATAAGGGCGCGATTCAATGACTCTCCAATTCCAAGGGACTTCACGGATTCTATTCTAGATATTTTATGGTTCCTAAACGGGATGGTGGTCTTCATCCAATCTTGGACCTCCGTAATATCAACAGATTTATCAAACCAAAGAAATTTTGGATGACTACCCTACAAAATACCTTGCCGCTGCTGAGAAGAGAGGATTGGTTCGCCTCACTGGATCTGAAAGACGCTTACTTTCATATTTTGATCCATCCGTGTCATAGACATCTTCTGCGTTTTACCGTCAGGACCGAATTATACGAATTCAATGTCCTCCCTTTCGGCTTAGCTACCGCTCGGAGGATCTTCACAAAATGTATGGCCCCAGTGTGCACACACCTATGGCTCCAGGCATCCAGGTGTATCCTTACCTGGATGACTGGCTAATAGTCTCACAGACCCGCGGTAGTCTTCTGTCGGCTGTCAAGGTGACTCGTGCGTTATTGGATGATTTAGGACTATGCATTAACCATGAAAAATCGCCCCTTGTTCCTACACAGGTGATAGACTTCATCAGAGCTCATCTCGATTCCACGGTAGCGAAAGCTTTCCTCCCTCCAGTTCGTCATGACAGCCTCTGTTCCTGTATTTCTCGGATCCTACAGGACAGAGTCATCCCAGCGGTCTCACTTCAGAGACTTTTGGGCCATATGGCTGCATCCGTTGCCATTGTCCCACATGCCAGACTGCGGTTATGTCCTCTTCAACTCTGGTTCAACAAAAACTTCCATCCGCAACGAGATTTCTCCAGCAAACCAATCCGAGTTCCTCAAGCTGTTCTTCGGACGTTGACTTGGTGGACTATCCATACCAATTTAGATGTGGGTACCCCGTTCCAGGCCCCCCACCCAACGCTGACTCTGTATACTGATGCCTCGCTGATTGGTTGGGGTGCGGTATGTATGGGACTTTGGTCCCAGGGCACGTGGAACCTACAGGAGTCGTCAAGACACATCAACTGTCTCAAACTCTTAGCAATTTTCAAAGTGCTTTGATCTTTTGAGGACACTGTTCATCAACACGTTGTCCAGATCACATCCGACAGCATAGTTGCGATGTTTTATATCAACAAGCAGGGCGGAACAAAATCCATTGCCTTAGCTCGTCTGTCCATGGACATTTGGGAATGGTGCATCCCGAGGAGTGTAACTCTTTTAGCGGTCCATCTTGCCAGGACTGACAACGAAGAAGCCGACATTCTGAGCAGGCACATGTCGATAACCCACGAGTGGGAATTAAACCGCCAGGTCTGCAGCCAGCTCTTCCAACTTTGGGACATTCGGACATAGACCTGTTTGCTACCCACAAGAACAGGGTATGCAACAGATTCTGTTCCAGGGTGGGAATAGGGCTGGGATCGATGGGAGATGCCCTTATGATCCCTTGGACAAATATCAGAATTCATGCGTTTCCACCCATTCCGCTACTAACGAAAGTCATCTCAAAGGTCGTACACGAAGGAAGGAAGGAATCCTGATAACCACCGCAGGA